GCCTGTCCTCTCTGGGCAGCCAGGTCAGCCTGTGTCCCCAGTTTCTCTGGCCAGGCTGTGGTCACTGAGCCTGTACTTCGTCAGGGTTGGTTTGTGTTTGCTGTTATTTGTCTTGGTTAAATGTTTGGCTAGTGTGTATTGTCTATTTAGGGTTCTGTAGCATTCCAGTTTATGCTGTGTTTGTGTGTGTGTCCTTTCTCTCTCTCTCTCCCTCCCTCTCTCTCTTCCACCTGTGTCCTGTCTCGTCCACATGCCTCCCTCTGGGTCTCTGCTCCTCTCCTGCTGTCTGTCGTTTTCTCTCTCCTTGTTCGAACCTGCTCCTGTCCCATCCCCCTCAATCCCATCTTTTGTCATTTTCCTTTTTTTTTAAATTCCTGTAGCACTCTCGCCCTGTTTTTCCCCAGCCATCCCTGCAGGTCTGTCCTTCACTGTACCCCCATCTCTCTCTGCCTCCACCCCTTCTCCGTTCTCCGCTAGATTTCGCCCCGTTAGCCTGCCTGACGTGTTTCATTTCTTCCCTGTGAGATGTTTCTATGCTTTTAGCACTAGCTAGAACACTAGACCGTGCTCCTGAAGTGCCCTTCACCGTGCAGGAGTCTGGAATTCAGCGTAAGCCCTTCAGTACGCACGGCGGTACACCACAACACCCGAGCAATCAGGGAGCAGTGGCAGAGTGAGTCATCGTCTTAGTCAAACTGAGTACAGCACCGTGAAAAGCAGGTGGGTTAGATGCCGATCTGCAGTGAAAGTGCACAATTAGCATGGCAGATGTTGAAGCTGGAGATGATTGGAATGCATTAATAACTGATGACTTTATATCATCCCGGCTTTGCACTCCCGCTGCCTCCGCCTTCGTAGATGAGTACCAAGCGGTTTCTCTGTCCTGTAGTGTCCCTGAGTTATCCCCTAGAGTCTACAGCTCGCAACGGGGCTTCTGAGCCCCCATGCTGGTGGCCCCAGAGTCTGCCTCCCTGTCCTCGTTCCCGCTGAGCTCTCTGCTGCCTTACTGGGTACCACCCAGAGGTGGGCCCAGCCTCGCACCTGCCCGGGCCCAGCCGACCGAGGGCAAGCCCTGGGGGTATGTGACTCAGGAGCAGGGGCACCCCAGGGCGAGGACAGCGCAAACAGACTGGGAAATGGCGGGGGGGCAGAAACAGCAGAGGCATGCAAATTCCACTATTTACGCGTCTTTGAAAAGGGCCCCGGTGCTCAGAGGCTCCCAGCATTCCCCATGGGGCAGGGCAATGCCCTTGTCCTCGCTGATCACACTCTAAATTGGCACCTACTGTCGTCCCCTGGCACTGCAGTCTCATCAAATCCGAGATCTCTGAGCGCGCGGCAGAGGCCAGGGGAAGAACTGTCCCGAAACGGAAAAGCAGAACCTCCCCAGACAGCATCTAAGGACACGAAGAACAGTTCTGTAAGATCCCGGAACCAGCTGATCGTACAAAACAGTGAGAAGTCACCTGAATTGCCCATGATGTGTTGGATGTACAGTAGATCTCGGCACAGTTTGGTAATGAATAAATAATGCCTAGAAAGGTCTTCTTGATTCAGGATCTGCAGGAGTTTTGACCCCCTTGATCCCATCAAGCCCTAATTGGGCTATTTTAATCCTCTTCCTGCTTCTTGCACAGATGACGATGCAAGGAGACCTGCTGGCCTGCTGTCTTTCATGAGAAGCTGACCCGTGGAGCCCTGCCTTAAGATAAGACGCTCCGCTGCTTTTGCAAAGCACTGTTCTGATCACACGCAGGCCCTTTCTTTGACAACATCCCTGGATGTGATCTGGCAAGACGAGGGCAGGACTTGCTCTTTCCAGCAGGTCCTCAGTGTGTCTGGGTGTGAAGTGGGCGGATTTGAAAGACGGATTGTGCCGCCGCCCGCTGGCACGCATGGTGTTGGCATGGGCTGACTGTTTTCAGCTCCAGGCTGGACCAGACGCAGCGTCTGATGTTTGTACAAGTGAACTAAGATAACTTTCAGAACTAGCTATGGGTTTGTGTTAAAGGGGCGCTGTTTTATTGAATGGAAAGAGGAGGTTAGAAACCTTTAGCCAATCAGTGCTTGTCAGTACCATACAACTTCCTCCCAGCCCTGTGTTCTAGGTTTGATTGTAAGCAGGTCCACCTTTCTGTGTGGAGTTTGCATGTTCCCCCCAGGTTCGTATGGGTGGTCTCCCATACATTGGTTTCTCCACAGATATAAAAACACGTGGAACAAGTTTCAAGTGAGAGGAGGCCCCCTTGGTCTATCAATCCCGTGTGGTAGTTTGGAGCTAATTGATTCTCTGGGTCTCATCCAGGTTTTTTCTTGAAAGAAGCCAGGGTATCGGGTTCAACCACATGGCTGGGCAGCTTGTTCCACACTCCCACCACCCTTTGGGTAAAGTGGGGAGAGCTCTGCCGTTCTCAGTCTTCAGCAAAGGCCCATGTAGTTTCCAAACATGTTCAACCCAATTCAGTAATACCGACAGTGTGTCCGGAATAAATATCACAAGCCTACCGGCGAGCGATCAGCCTAGCTCAGTGTCGAACGGGTCTTGAGCTGTGCTGGTACACCAGGGGAGCTCAGCTGCAGTCTGCCTGTCAGCAGTTCTTGATGGCAATAATTGTCAAGTGTGAACCCACCCTGAGGCTGTGTTGACTTGGCAGTCGAGTCTGCACCTTCTGCAGCAGTGTGGAGCAAAGGAGCATCACTCAACCAGGTTCAGGCACTCACACAATTTTTAAGCCAGTCCAGCACAATTTGAGCGTCTCACTTGTGTGTGCCTTATGAGCGTTAGATGTTTCTCCAATTTTGCTCTTTTTTTTTAATTACCCAGTATTCATTCTGCTGTTCTCCTTATCTGCTTCCCAGAAGGCTACGACAGAGACAACGAGGTGTGTATACCCACATGATCTGACACAGAAAACCGAGATGCCGACATCTTTTTGTGCATTCCTGTGCCCTTGCAGAAAATCTTTCATCTTCCTGTGTTTGCACAGAAAATCCTGTCTCCTTTTATGCGGACCTACACAGACAACGTTCACTCTGTCTGTGTCTCAGTCTACAGCAGAAGGAAATGTTTATCGCTGAAATACGCTCAGCCTGAGAGTGTGTGCAGGTTGAATGTTCAATCTGCGTGTGAGGAGAGGATGGACACTCGCTTGGATCAGATTGATTGGCCACTGTCTTGCTCTGCGTCCACAGAGATGTCAGTCTCACTGTCTATACAGTACATACAGCTTAACAAGTGTCTGTAGCCCACACATACTCCTGTATTGATCTCTGGCTCTCTCTCTCCATTCCCCCTTGCCTCTCTCTTGCTCTCTCTGTGATGAGCCTACCTTGACAGGTAATTTACTGCTTGAGCAGATCTAACAATGCGCAGGAGAGAGGGAGAGAGGGAGAGGGGAGAGAGGGGGAGTGGAGACGGAGAGACCCCAGACATGGGCTAATACAAGTGGGAGAAAGAGGGGGAGAGACCGAAGCCAAAAGAGACAGAAGCAGAGGCCTTGTGATTGGAGGTGGGAGGGCGAGCTGCCCCATTCGCTCATTGCCAGCATTCCAGCGAGAAGAGGCAGAGGAGGGAGAGGGGGGAGAGGCAGACAGGGGAAGGAGGTAGAGGAGGAGAGGCAGGTAGAGACGTAGAGGGGAAGGAGGCAGAGGGGGAGAGGCAGGTAGAGACGTAGAGGGGAAGGAGGCAGAGAGAGGCAGACAGAGGAAGGAGGCAGAGGGGGAGAGACAGAGGGAGAGGGGGGAGAGGCAGAGAGAGACAGACAGGGGAAGGAGGCAGAGGGGGAAAGGCAGAGAGAGACAGACAGGGGAAGGAGGCAGAGGGAGGACAGGAGGGAAGGAACAGATGGACAGAGGCAGAAAGGACAAGGAGGCGGAGAGAGACAGACAGGGGAAAAGAAGAAGGAGGCAGGCCGAGACATACAATAGAGACAAGTTAGAAATCAGTTCAGAAGCGCAGAGAGGGAAAAGAGAGGCGGATGGAGAGCCAGAGAGATGGGCTATTTTTAGTTTACCCTTATCACACAGGTGCAGATGTGACTGGAGAGCAGCGAAGCACAGTGTCGCCCCCAGGGGCGGTATGTATGGTAAACAGGCTCAGCGCAGGCGCCCATTTCCCACGGACAGAGGGGAGCAGCGGAGAGGGACCCTGAAATCACAAACGGGAGGTACAGGGCGCCACAAACCCGACACCAGCTGTGTCTCCTCCGCGGGCGACAGTAATGTCAGCAGGGACGCATCCTGGCGAGACGTGCCCCCTCTTCTCCTTGCTTCCCAGTGTCTCTCCTGTGTGGAGACACAGGGAGCCCCCGCTCAGTCTATGATGAGGTATGAGATGAGTTTCATTCGTGCTGAAAACAGCCGTTTCCAGAGAACACTCTCCCTCAGTGGCCTGAACTCCAGCAGTGGAACAGAGGCTTGAATTATCTGGGGCTACTGCCCCCGATGACGGTTGACATATTTAACCCCAGTGACCCTCAGGACAAAGTGTGACGCCCCCCCCTGGCTTCTCGCGATCGCAGCTGCACAGATCGGCACATGGGCCTGGGTGTGGCAGGTCAGGATGTGGTCCCCTCCGGAGGTCCCACGCTCTGTGCTGCCAGCTGATTTCTGCAGACGCTGGTGTGTCTCTGATGACGGGGTGAAAAGAACACGTCCCGGTATCTCCCAGCCCCTGACAAGCCTTTGATGACACGACAGTCCCCGCAGTAAGAGCTCAAGTAATTATGGGAAAGGAGAGTGGCGACTTCAGCTTCTGCTGTGAGGGAGCTGCCAGCGTTTCTGTGTGAAGCCTGCCTGATCAAGGCTAATGAGGACTGCTTTCATTACACAGCCTTCCCTCCGTCTCAGAACTGCTCTCCGTGTTCAAGAGCTGGCCTTGTTCTCTCTGAGGCGTGCACATTCTAAAGGCAACGTCTCTGATTGCTATTTTTTTTTGTTGCCAGTTCTCATTTGTTTTTTAGTCTTTCAGATCACAAGCCGCTTTTTCTGGGGGGGGAGAACCGCAGTGCTTTGAACGATCTTGAAACAAACGTGCAGCAGGCTGGGGAACCACAGCATAGCAATCTGCTGTCCAGGGGCACCAGGAGGGGTGTGCAGCACGTAATGTAGAGAGAGAGAGATTGCCATTCTAGAGCAAAGTGCTTGGTTGTCACGCCAGAGAAAAATCCATTTTCATAATTTAAGAGTCTTTTAATAAACTTCAATCCAGGCCAATTTGAGCTTTTCCTGATGCGATCTATGGATTTGGCCTCCAATAATATCGGAACTTCAAAGTTCAAACCTCTGGACCCTACAGGGGTCAGACCCGCATGCTCCTTGCCCTCCTCCTGATGCATCCCGGGTCATCTTGTTCCGGAGCCGCTCAACTCTTGGTGTGTGGAACTGCCGGCCGCTTTCTCTCCTAAATGCACTGGAAGTGTTGCATGCCTGTCTCATAGCTGAGACGCACCGGCCCGTGGGCGGATGTTGACCGTTCCCTTTCTGTCACGATTATAGTCCCCCCTCCTTAAGGGTCCTCCAGCCCTTTCACTTCAGACTTCATTCTGTGCACCTGATCCCTTTTACCCAGCCCACCTTAAAAGCCAGGAGCTGACGCTCATCCTGGCTCTGCATCTGGTTTCCACACCGTGGGAGTCCGGGACCTGGAAGCGCCTGGTCCCGTTAAGGTTTTAACCTCTGTTCCTGTTCCTAGTCCGC